ATGGATATCAGCGCACGTCGACTAGACTGATTATGAAGAGAGGCAGGCAAAGGCGGGACCAAACGTACGTTCTCATGTCTCAAGTGCTTGAGCAGCTTCAGCTCACGGTATGTTCGCTTGGCGAGAACGGGAGTGCTGAAGGGCTTCATAATCTTCTTGACGGCAACATTCTGGTTGGTAAGTTGGTCACGGGCGGAGCTGCGAGCGAAGAAGACATGTCAGCCAGCACGGATAGATGGTCGCAACGAGCGCTCGTTGCGATGGATGGTATTTTCTCAGACTAACCAAACGAGACCGAAGGCTCCCATACCAACGGGTTGCAAGTCCGAGTACCTCGAGGTGATCTCAAAGGTAGTACCGAAAATTTGTGCTCTAACGAATTCGGCCATTTTCGTGTGATGGTCGATCTACCTGATCGAAAAGGATTGAATTTTCGGATTGAGCGGCTGAAGGGGGGAGGAAGAGAGAGAGAGGGAGACCGATCGAGGGGAAGGATGGAAATTGGTCGTCGTACGGCGGGGAGGATTAAAGAATGATGAGGGGTGGTGGAGTAAAAAGACGACAGCCGGGAGATCGACGAGTCAAGTTATGCTTCTGCTGACGGTTCTGCTGTGGTGAGCGAGAGACAGGCTCGATGATCAACTCGAATTTGAACGAGGTGAGGGAATTCGAAGGAGAGGTTTTGCGGTATGTGAGGTGTGCGATGGGCAGCTTTCCGTCTGGTCTGGCGCGTGTATGGAAAGGCAACAAGAGAGCGGGAGTCGGCTGGATTTGAAAGAGATGCAGCGACGGCGGGGGAGCGAGCTCAAGGATTTGTTGCGCGCTGGAGGGGTGGCTGTTCGGCGGGGCGGTCCTGGTCTTAGGCCTGGTTCTGGGACGTGGATTCTTGGGCTGGGAGGAGAAGGTCGCTCGCTGGCTGGTCGTAGACGGTGGACGGTGGACTGTGGCCGTATGGGACGTGGGACGTGGGACGTGGGACGGTGGGCGTGGGATGTGTGGGCGTGAGGGCGTGGGAGTTACAAAAAGGGCAGCGGGGTAGGTGGAAGCGTGGGCAGCGAGTGAGCGCACGTCTCTTTCTCCGTTTTGTCCTCCGCTGTCGTTGGGGGTACTTCGTACGTATGGCTGGACTGCCTTCAGGTACCTGCTGCTTCTGCGTCTCCTTCTCCTTTTGCTTCTGCCTTTGGGCCTTTTCTGGGATACTTTACGTGGGTGGTATGGGATCCGGAGCAACCTGAACAATGTGGCAACGGCGTTAGCGAGACTTCTTTTCTTGCAGGGAAGCAAGCAGTACGCAGCACAGAGTACTGTAAATGGTAGCGAATGCAGCTAGGGGGCGACATCAATAGCGGGACAAGAATCTGGTTTTTCTCCCTATCCTCCATGTTCTGTTCCTCCTCCTTCGTCATTCGCCGTTTTTGCCTATGCATATTCCGTTTTTTGCCCTTCCGGTGCTGTCGACTTTGGGTGCAAAGGGCGTCCAATTCCATAATTAACCATGCCGTAGACGGCGCAGGCGGTAGCATTCTAGTACAAGAACGGGGGAACTTTCGGTGCAAGGGGGAAGTATGATGATGAGGAACAGTAGGGGATGTTCAAAATATTCCCTGGGCAATGACATGCAGGCTATTGGGAGGCTTGCTCACTTACAAAGATGAAGATCTCGGCGATGCTCTTTTTCTATCTTTTGCAGTATTTCCCTCTTCTTTTTGTCTATCCAAAGCGGTTCGCTTTCTCTCTCTTTTTTTTTATTTTTTTATTTTTCTCTGAGTCTCTTCGGGATCAAGTCCGGGCGCGAAAGCTCAAACCGAATGGTGGCCGCGGTGATGGGCGCACGAGTGGCGGGCGCACGTGGGGAATGCAGGTAGCAAATCCGCACAAGTGTCGATCAGGTCGTCGTTCTCGTCTCTCGTTCGCTGCTACGGTGAAGCTGAGGATGCCGCTGGAGGGTGGATGCACAACAACACCTGTCGATAGATGGAGGCAAGGACGCGTATGAGACTTTCGGGGAGTGGCTCTCCTTAAGAAACCTTTGGACGTGAATGTGAGCTTTGGGGGTAAGAGACAGATATATACTCAGAATCGATTCGGGCGAGAAATGCGAGGAAGGGAAGAGTCAAGCAATACACAAGAGCAATACTTGAAGGGGGAAAGTACTTTTCAATACTTCCTACAAGGCGCGACTGAGTGAGTGGGATAGGATAGCTACCTGGCGTAGGAAAGACATAGGGGAGAGGGGTGTGCACAATTCGGCCAGAAGACGGAGAGACAATGGCTGGCTCTGGAAGTAACATTGAACCCAGCGTCAAAGACGGAAGAGCTTGCACGGTAAGCGTCGGAGTGAAGACAAGACAGGGGTATCTGCACCTTGCTCTACCCCCGGCGCTATTTTCCTGTCCAATAATATATCAAGGCAGGCGGGTTACGGATGAATGTTACTGGCGGGAATGGGTGTTTCTCTGTTGAACCGAGAACTTGCAGGCGTTAACGGTGCCTTCCATGTACAAGACGGGCACAGTGGATGGGAAGGCCCGGGCAAGGTCAGGTAATAAGCAGGCTACATAAGTATGTGTACAGACTACAGAAGGTCTAACTGGACAGAAGGACAGGTTAGATGGGGACGGCAACTATGCCAGGTACTAAGGTAAGGTACTGAAGTATGCACAATTACCAGACTAACCAATAAGTCACAGGTGACCAAGTAAAAAGGAGTTGACCAAGACTGAGATGAGACGACGGCAACGACGACAACAACCACGGAGAGGAGCATAACGTCCGGGATGACTCGTGAGTTCATACACCAGAAGCAGAGAGACTTACTTTCCGATTCGATCTCGTAGGTTCGAGGAGAAACAAGTCAAGATGAGGCTGAACTTATGACTGTGTGATGTTGCGTATGTTGTCTCTTACCGCGAGCCTCGGTCTTTGTGGATTGCTGTTTTGGGAGCGGCTGGTAATAACATGAGACGACGGGAGTATTGCTGCGAGAAATCTGAAAAATGACCGAGAGACAAGCAAAGGTTGACCTGTCACAAAAGGAGCTTCATGGAATGGCCTGAGCATCAGCGGCACCGCCAATTTCACTTTCAGCTCACCACGGGCCGAGCTTGGGAATCCCTCCTTCCATAATACCGTGCCGTGGAAAACAAGATCTTGTTCAACGCGCAACTCAGACAAGATGGACAGGAGAAGACGTTTCTAGGTAGCTCCGTTTTTTGATAATGATGAATTTAGACAAGGCACCGCTCCAGCCGGTCGCAGGTCACATAACTTCTCAATCCCAAGACCGGACGGCATGGTCTGGCTTGTTTTATCCTAGCGGCAGGGCAGTTGCGAGGCAGCAAATCAAAACGTTCGTTGGACAATTGGTCGGTGAACCCGCGGCAGGGAAGGCAACGGTGAAGTATCAGCATGAAGTTCTAGTGTACCTTACCACCTTGAGGTACGGATGCGCAATCGTGGAATATCTGGGAACGTCCAGCAATAACAGATCGACGATGATGGTCTTGGCCTGCCCGCCGTGCCTGCCTTGAAGTTGCCACTGCGACTGCGATAACACAACTGGCAGCTACTAGTTCGTGGTTCCTTCCCTGACGGTCCAATCTTCACCCTCACCTTCCCGCGCCCCTTGCGGGAGCATAGGACACCCATGAGCAGTCAGAAGGCACGCCAACGAGAGATTGCCCACCTGTCTTGCCAAAATGCCATGTTTTTCTCAAAGGCACTTCTGCCGTTTCCCGTCCAAATCGCTCAATTGCCGTTTTGCTCCTCCCTTCATCCAAACACCACGGGGAATTTTACCATCGAACATCGAGAAACCCCAGCCTCAAGATACGGCGAACCTCAAACGGTTCCAATTAGGGTAGCCCCCAACTTCTCTTCCATTTTTCTACTGGCACCCCTACCTCCGTTACAGTCTTCTCCTCCCCCGTTCCCCATCAATCATGCCCTTGCACCAAGCACGACCAAGCACCTTGCACCACCGGTCGATGCAAGTGTCGAATTACCAGCATCATGGATTCAAGACACCATACCTCCTTCTCACGGAGGCTCGAACTCTGTCGCAGGAGCATAATCCTCAGGTGCGCATCCAATTCCCATGCCAGATCAGATTTGCCATCCGCAACGCGATACCTCCGTCGCTTGTGCATGCGCGCACATGTGCAATCTGGTATAATCATTCATGCCGCATACCTCTAGCATCATCCTCCCTTGACCAACCTCGACAGTGGATTCCTTAGCGGCCTGTTCCGATAAGCTATGTATTCGTATCTGATATCGAGATGCATATAGAGGAGCCCAGGCTACATCGCGGCGAACGCATCCATCCGAAAGCTCTTCCTTCCACTGCACTACTCCGTACGGCACCCAGGTGCCAGGCGCATCAGAGGGGCTAGGTGTGAAAACCACCACGAAAAGCACCCCCAACCTCTGACGTCATTTTGAGATCGCATCGAGATGGTGCTGGGGTATGGAAACCTTCCTGTGTCGTGTCGCGTTGGCGGGCTGGGGAGGGGTGTGTCTGTGATCCGTCCCGCTAATCCAAACTCCAGAGACCACAAGTACAGCCGCCCCTGCTCTCCCCATCGAGTCCATCCTGTCAGCTTAGCGTGCAATGGAATACTAGCCGCTCACTGTCCGAGTTTCTAGCGCCCCGAAACGTCGACGACTTCCCTAAGCACTAACACGTTTGCCGTACCTTTCGCACCGTCTTGCAGGGAGCAGGAGACTACCCCGGCAATAACGCTATTCGATCCATGGTCCCAGTCCCTCCCAGTCTCCTCCCTCACCCAACATCGACTTCGCAGGCGAAGATCGAGAATCGAGAAAACGGTCCGTCACACAGCTCACCCAGCGCACATAACACGCCCCTCCTTATCCTCCCCAGCGGTATAGAATCCGTGTGACCGCCGCAAAGCAACTGCGGTAGCCCAAAATTCCCGTCACGGGGCTTCCCCGACTACAGTAGCCGCATGTTCTAGACTGGCCTGAACATGCCCAATTCAGCGCATTACCTGCTGTAGCTGGACAAACGTCCGGCCGCATTGATTGGACTCCGAGGGAGAGAATACGGTATGGATCCCATCAAGCCCTTTTGCGGCACGGGAACGGGTAACACCTCTCTGCATAACTTTTCCTCTCCATATTCTCGATACAAACGACGCTGAAAAACAATGAATGAGTCTAAGCCCTTTTCGAGTTGATTGTGGTACCAGATCTCGATTCACCACCATTGGGATGGAATTGTCAATGACAATCTGGGATGCTCGACAAGAACCGGTTTTGACATGCTTGTACCAAGTCATGCGCTCGATCTCCAGACTGTCCCGGCGATTGAGATAACGGAACCACATTCGCAATTCATCGCCCACAGCGTGCACCCACCAGACGCGACACGTGGATTTACAATATTCGGCTACCATTCTCGGCCAGCTCAGGTACAACGATGCATTGCGGCGACATTGCTTTGCTTGTGTGGTTGCAGAGTGGACACCTTCGAGTCAACAATTACCTTTCGGATCCGTCATGATGGAGTAAGATCATGACAAGCAGCACCATCCCACCCGGGACTCAGAAGCTTCCCAGGAACTCTGAGGGTGACATGCGTACAACTTTTGGCATATTGTGCCCTGGCTTCGCTGTGATGGATCTCGAATTGGACCCATCCTGCCGGGAACCTCCAGGGGTCAACCTGTGTATAACCCGTTTGGTGATGCTAATCCGAGCCGCAGAGAAGAAGAAAAACGGCGCGGTGCAGCGCGAGGCGGGAGAATGTACGAAAAGGACCCTCCAACTCTGTCCCTACCTCATGCAGCCAGCAGGTGTACCAGAAAAGGATGAAATGGTGGGAACACGAGCACACACGGTCCAAGGACCCTTCATCCTCTGGACCCTGAACTCATTCATGTGTATCGAAGATCATCCCGTTCATTTGGACCTGTCAACACGCTGATTCGTCAAACTATTCCAAACGACGCTTCTGTTCCGTGATCTAGAGAAGCATTCACCACCAGGGCAAGCTCACGAGCCGGCGTTGCGGCCGATGTTGTCTAAGCTCCCGGCCGGTGCGAAACTAGCGCTAAAGGCCATGAGGTTCCTCCATTAACCACATACTCAAGGTGGCCGTCTGACGATTCTCTTCCGAGACCAGAATCAGTGCATACCAACAACATGACCCCTTTGCACGAATCGTTTCCTCAACATGAGAATGCGGCCCTGAAGCCAAAATCACATTCCGCACGCGTATTGCTCTGCCGAAGGCCATGGCTCTGCTCTCGGCGTACCATGGTTTAGCCGCCAGCGTATTCCTTTACTCGGCGAGATGAACAGTCTCTTCGATGCCGGCCGGTTCATACCGTTTTGACAGATGGATAAAGGGGGGAATGCCGGAATCAGGGACCTAACAAGGGCCAGCATTCGTACCTCTCGTTCCTCTGATGTCATTAGGCACCTCTCCTCCAGTCTTTGCTCTCCCAGGCTCCAGCAGGGCTGGTTTTGAGTTGGTCCCTTGGTACACCACCAGAAAAAGAAAAAAAAAACACAGAAAAAAAAAGTAGCAGGAAAGGAAAAGCAGGGTCTCGACTTTTCCCACATTCGCAAAGATGACGACAGCATCCAACCCAATATGAACCTGACCTTCTTCCCCGGAGGTTGTCCCCCGGACCAATCTCACTCGCTGCCGACATGCCGTAACGGATCGGTGTTGTCTTACGCCCCATACGGAGACGTACACCGGCAGGCGGTCGGCCAACCCAAATGCACACACCTTTTTTTTTTTTCTTTCTTCGGATACACGCACATACAGCACGCAGCCAAATTGTCTTCTTTAAACTTGTTTCCATTGTTTCGCAAAGGCATGCAAGCACGCAAGGAAACTTGTACGCACACTGCTTACTCGCCGCCTGCTGATCAGCCCGCGCGGGGTGCCGAACCAAGCAAAGTCTGGAAGACTCTGCACAAGTGCTTCGGGTTCGGATTGGCACAATTGGAGCACAGGAAGCCCCTTCCAAAGTTCCAGAACACTTTTTTTTTCTGATCAGCGATGAGTGTCCGGGAAGGAAGAAAAGTTGACTCTAGATCCCTCTCCCCCTCCCTCTAGGTATGATCCTTGACCGCCATTTTCTCGCGGACGCGGAGTCGCGTCCTTTTGCCGGAAGCTTGGAAGTAGTACCCGGAATCGATCCGTCCCAGAGAAAGGTACCCCTTGGAGCAATGGACAGAGCGAGGGGTCCTGGCCTGTCGTCCTTTTCCTCTTTCCCCTTGGTCACTGTGGACGACGTCCACATTGCCGCATAGTGACGTCAGTGAAGCAAAATAGGCGCCCCATTGTTTCCACTTCCCTTGTCGAAACGTTCACGTTGCAATTGCCCTTGTCACCCTGCTCCGTTTCCAACAATGGTCGCCGTTCGAGGCCGTTCCAAAAAACAATAACCATTTGCTACCTTTGAATGCTGAGTCATCTGGAAAAATAAGATAATACGCATACTCACTTCACACCCAGTCCACATTACTGAGCATGGTTTCAATCGTTGCGGACATCAGTCTTGGGGCATTCTCATAAAAACTATACAAAAGAAAGATATTATCTAGCACTGTTCCTTATAAGCCCCGCCTTCTGCAAGAGTTTCGTGTGCAATAGTGCCATAGGTACTCGGTTCCGTACACGCCTGACCAGCCATTCCCCCTCTAGGTCACTTCACGCCGTCTGGGTCTTGTCTTTGTAGCGCTTTAGTCTAGTCTACCTAGTCCTCGACCTTAAGAGGCTCGACATTCCAGATCTCCTCGGCATACTCGTTGATGCAGCGATCACTGCTGAAGAAGCCCATACGAGCTACACTGGTAATGGACTTTGTGATCCACTCTTCTTGGTTCTTGTACGCCTCATCGACAAGGTGGTGAGTCTCAATGTAGCTGTTGAAGTCGTCTGATACCAAGTAGTAGTCTCCGTGGTCACGGACGGCCGAGACTAGCGCGTGGAAATCAGACACGGAGCCGAATCTGCCACTGTCAATGGCAGAGAAGACCTTTGCAAGGTTCTCATCAATCGAGTGGGTTCCGTAGTTGTGCGCGTGGCGGAGATCTTCCACATCCTCGGCAAGGTTGCCAAAGAGGAAAATGTTGTTCTCGCCAATCTCACGGGTGATCTCAATCTAAGCTAGTGTTAGAAACGATCGTCCAGCCAGTTCCATCCCCTCGGGTTCACTTACGTTGGCGCCGTCGCACGTGCCGATAATCAAGCCGCCATTGAGAACAAACTTCATGTTACTCGTACCAGATGCCCTGCATAACACGTTAGCCAGGACGCCGTGGGCGTTGATGACAGTGGTTCACTTACTCAGTACCGGCAGTGGAAATGTGCTCGCTCAGGTCAGACGCGGGAATGATCATCTCTGCCTTGCTGACATTGTAGTCCTCCAGGTAGATGACCTTGAGCAGGTCGCCGATTTCCTCGTCATTGTTGACTACTGAACCAACACTGTTGACCAAGTGAATGATTTGCTTGGCCATCCAGTAGCCAGGTGCCGCCTTTCCTCCAAAGATGGAAACACGGGGAGCAACCTTCTTCCGGTCCTCCGGCGACATGGCCTTGAGGGTGAGGTAGCGGTGGATGACACCAAAGATGTTGAGCTGCTGACGCTTGTACTCATGGATACGCTTGACTTGTACGTCAAAAAGCGCCGCAGGGTTGACGCTGACGCCTGTTGTGGTCTTGATGTACTTAGCGAGGCGGACCTTGTTGGCGTACTTGATCTCGGCCCATTCCTTGCGGAACTCCTTGTCGTTGACGCTGAGCTCAAGCTGGTTCAACTTTGTCAGGTCCTTCAGGAAGTCGTAGTTGCCACCAGTCTTGGACGCAATGAGGTCAGACAGGCGAGGGTTGGCCTGGTGCAACCAACGTCTCGGGGTAATGCCGTTGGTGACGTTGGTGAACTTGTCAGGGCCGTAGATGTTGACAAAGTCCTTGAAAATTGTGGTTTTGATGAGATCAGAGTGCAGCTCAGCTACACCGTTGACCTTGTGGGAACCGACAATTGCCAGGTACGCCATGCGCACCATCTTGGGCTGCGACTCTTCTATAATCGAGACCCTGCTGAGGATTTCGCGGTCGTTGGGGAACATCTTCTCGACACTCTGAAGGAAGAAGAGGTTGATGTCGTAGATAATCTGCAAGTGTCTAGGGAGCAAGTGCTGGACCAAACCGACGGGCCACTTCTCCAGAGCCTCGGGCAAGACTGTGTGGTTGGTGTAGCCAAAGGTGGCAGTGACAATGTTCCATGCCTCATCCCAATCAAGCTTCTCCAGATCAATCAGGATGCGCTGAAGCTCAACAATCGCCAAAGTAGGGTGAGTGTCGTTCAGCTGGATGGCGACCTGATCGGGGAACTCTCTCCAGGGGCGCTTGGACTTCTTGAAGCGACGAACGATGTCGTAAAGAGAGGCAGCACACCAGAAGTACTGCTGCTTCAAACGAAGCTCCTTTCCACGTTCAAGGTTGTCGTTGGGGTACAGAACCGCGCTGATCGTCTCGGCGCGCTGCTGGTCGGCAACTGAGCTCTCGTACTCACCATTGTTGAACTTTTGGAAATCGAACTCTCCGCTAGCAGCCTTACTGGACCACAAACGCAGGTTGTTGGTCGAAGGGGTAGCGTATCCCGGGATGGGGACGTCGTATGCCACGGCGGTGACCGTCTCACCACCCTCCCAGCTGGCGATGGTCTTGCCGTTTGAGTCTGTCGACTTTGTGACGTGGCCGAAGAATTGGATCTTGAGGATTGTCAGCAGTCGTTCGAAACCAATTTCACTCTACATTACTCACATCGACAGTAACATCGTGACGGGGGAACTCCCAGGGGTTGAAGTCAAGCCAGTAGTCGGGCACCTCAACTTGGTAACCATCGATAATCTCCTGCTTGAAGATACCGTATCTGTATCTCAAGCCATAGCCCCAGGCAGGGAAGTTGAGAGACGCAAGACTGTCGAGGAAGCAAGCAGCCAAACGACCCAGGCCACCGTTTCCAAGAGCAGCGTCATGCTCCTGCTCGATCACGTCCTCGATGCGGAAACCAAGGTCATCAAGACCAGCTGTGCCACAACATTAGCATAACAAAATCCAAACATGACTCGGTGCTTCCTTGTAATTCACCCTTGGCAATGTCCTTCAAGCCAACGTTCAACATGGCATTGTCGAGGGCACGGCCCATAAGAAACTCGAGAGAGAAGTAGTAGACACGCTTTCCGTCCACAGTAGTCTGGCGCTGCTGAGTCTTGTTCCACTGCTTGACCAGACGGTCACGGAAGGCCAAACTGGCGGCGGAGTAGGCCGCCGTCTCGTCGCAGTTGAACATGCTGCGAGCCAAAGTGGTCTCGACGTGGCGAACGACCTCCTTTTCGAACTCATCCTTTGTCTTGAAAGGGCCGCCTTGGGCTTTGGACCAAGCCTCGCGCTGAGGCTCGGGGATGGAAGCTGTTCAGAGGCCATTAGCTTGTGATCCGATGTTGGCATTGCATTTGGTTGTAATATTGGTGC